GGGTTAATGGGTGGGGGTATACGGGTGAGTGGGTGGGTGATAATAGGTGGGGTGGGTGAATGGATGGGTGAAATGAGTGGGTGATTGTGGGTGGGTGGATGAGCAAAACAGAACATGAGGGAGATGAGGTCACTTCAAAACCATACTCCATTCTACTCCCACTCCATTCCCACCCACCCCACCCACCCACCCTGACCGTACAGCTGTTTGTCTCACCATTAGACCAAGATCAACACAAAATCGTCATCTTGAAACTCTATCCGACTGTTGTTTTCGGTTCACCAACGTCAAAGTATTAAGTATTATGAGTTTATCTTCCAAAATATTAAAAGTTTCGTCCTTTAAACGTATAAGCAGTTAAAAACTTCCCCCAAACTCTCTCAAAGTAGTAATAGTTTTGTGCTATGTAACCCAAAGTATTAAGTAAGTGGTGTTAGACGTTCTTCCAAACCCTTCCAAAGTATTAAATAGTTTCGTGTTTTCTTTCATGGCTAAACGGGTAGTGATGGGAGGGGGAAGGGAGGGAGAGGAGGAGGGAGGGGGTAAGAGGGAGAGGGGGAAGAGGAGGAGGGGGAGGGGGTGAGGTAAGGGGATGGAAGAGAAAGAAGAGGGTGGGGAGGAAGAGGTGTGTGTGTGTGTGCGTAAGAGTAGTGACGGAGGAGGAAGAAGAGAGGAGGAAGAAGAGGAAGAGAGGAGGAAGAAGAGGAGGAAGAGAGGATGTGGGTATAGTGCTGGGTGTTGCTAGGCAGCGTGTAGGGCATCCTTAGTCCCTCCAGGTAAAGCACGGGTAGGCAGAGGGAGGGGAGGGGGAAAGAGGGGGAGGATGGAGGTAAAGGCAGAAAGAGGGGAGAGGAGGAGGGACAAAGAGAGCGGGAGGAGGAAGAAGAGGAGGAGAAGGGATAAGGAGAATGGATGAAGGGAGGGAGAGTGGAGAAAAGGAAGGAATGGCAGAGAAGGAGGAAGGAGTACAAGAGAAGGAGGAAGGGAGGGGAGGAGGAGAATGAGAGGAAGTGGAGGAGAAGAAGGAGGTAAGTACCACGTGTGACGACTCTTAAACACCCTGGAGGACATAGATTTTCACACTCTGCTATCCTTTCCTTCCTTTCCTTGTCTCCTGGAGTAGTAGGATGGCTAAGGGGGGTGGCCGGGGGTGGGGTGGCTGAGGGGGGTATGGAGGGGGGGTGGCTGAGGGGTGGCTGAGGAGGGGTGGCTGAGGGAGGGTGGCTGGAGGGGGGTGGCTGAGGGGGGGTGGCTGGGAAGAGGGGGTGGCTGAGGGGGGGTGGCTGAGGGGGGTGGCTGAGGAGGGGGGTGAGAGAGGGTGGCGGCAGTGGCGGATCTTGCACCACACACAGACACACACGTTCCTCTGTCCGTTGCACGCCCAGGAGGTAACTCATACACACGGTTCTGTATGCACGCCCACACACTTCTCCCTCTCTCTCCACACACGCCCACACACGCCCGGTCATGCTCAAGGCGTCATCACACACACACACGGACCTTCACCAGTCCCAGTACTAACCATGGACACTTAACTACCCCCACGGACACTCAAGGACACTCCACAGACAATTACGTACGTCCACGATCAGCCCTCGAACACCTCCCTACGCCCACGACCAGCCCTCGAACACCTCCCTACGCCCACGATCAGCCCTCGAACACCTCCCTATGCCCACACCGTAACACTTCATGTCGTCCCACTCCAGACCTAACCTAACCTAAACGCCACGACGAGCACTAAACATCGCCAGGCATTTCCTTCTTACCCTGTAACATCACTCACAAGACCCCGCGGCAGTCGAACGATTGCCAAGCTCAATAACAAGAGGACAGATGCACCGCAACGCCAGTACGAGCGACCCATTCACAGCCTGTATTGTTAATAATGAGATAATTGGGTGGTAACGAGGCACGCTGGCTACCTCCCCCTGACACACAAAACACTCCACCATCACAAGTGCCACTGTCAACCCACCCCCCTACACACCTTAAACCCTATTACAGGCAGAGATACATACATTTAATAGTAACATAAAGCCAAGCATTTAATCACTGAAGGTCCTCAACACACACACACACACACACACACACACACACACACACACCAAAGGGTTTCATTAAGGCAAGCCGTAGTTAATGGAGGCTGTTAGGTGAATCAAATTGAATGTGTCTCTCTCTCTCTCTCTGCACGAAGGCAAACAGTTAAGTTCAGGAGACGCAAATTGTCACCCTGCAGGTAAAACAATTGCAAACAGGTGTCTCTATCACACACACACACACACACACACACACACACACACACACACACACACACACACACACACACAAAATGAATATATAATTAAAATTTACTTTATATACACACAAGCACTTAAGTTCAAACACTTTACACTTACACAACATGGGTGTGAGTGTGGTGAGGGGTGGGTGGGGTGGAAGGGTGGGTGGGTGTGGGTGGGGGGGTAAATGGATTGGGTGTAGAAGAACAAAGAAAAGGAAACTCAAGTGTGGGTGGGTTGAGGTGGGTGGATGGTGGGTGGGTGGGTGGGGGTGGGTGTGTAGGTGGGGTGTGGGTAGGTGGGGGTGGGTGGGGTGTGGGTGGGTGGGTGAGACAATCCATTTACGGTAGAGGATACAGTAGGTACCTAGACTGTATCCTGTGTCGGAGCGGTGCCTCATACAGTCATTCCCCGGCTGTAATCTGATTAACACAGAGTAACAGAGTAACAGCGCCAAGGTTAGCTCTCTCTCTCTCTCTCTCAATATATACATCAGAGTTAACACGTGGTCGTGCAGGGAGCCGTAGTGAGGGAGTTATTGAAGGCAAGGAGTGTTTCACTCCTCCCCTAGCAGGTGTGGTGGGTGCAGCTGTCACACACACACACCTGCTACCTCTCATACACACCCTCTCACACTCTTTACACACACCTGCCTCTCACACTGTTACACTCCACACTCTCTCTCTCACTGACTCACCACTCTCTTCGTGAACTGACTTCGATACTTTGATGATAAAGAATTCCAAGAAAAGTGTGTGTGTGTGTGTGTGTGTGTCTGTGTGTGTCTGTGTGTGGTGTGGATACAGAAGCCACACACATTAAAAGCTTATGTTTGTGGTTGGTGTGATTTGATAGCTGATAGCTGTGTGGTGGTAGGTGGTGGTTGTTGTTGGGTGGTAGTGGTGGTTGTTGTTGTGTGGTAGTGGTGGTGGTTGTTGTGTGGTAGTGGTGGTGGTTGTTGTTGGGGTGGTAGTGGTGGTGGTTGTTGTTGTTGTGTGGTAGTGGTGGTGGTTGTTGTTGTTGTGTGGTAGTGGTGGTGGTTGTTGTTGCTGGTGGTAGTGGGGTGGTTGTTGTGTGGTAGTGGTTGTTGGTGTGGTAGTGGTGGTGGTTGTTGTTGTGTGGTAGTGGTGGTTGTTGTTTGTGGTAGTGGTGGTGGTTGTTGTTGTTGTTGTGTGGTAGTGGTGGTGGTTGTTGTGTGGTAGTGGTGGTGGTTGTTGTTGTGTGGTAGTGGTGGTGGTTGTTGTTGTGTGGTGGTGGTGGTTGTTGTTGTGTGGTAGTGGTGGTGGTTGTTGTGTGCTGTGGTGTGGTTGTTGTTGTGTGTGTGTTGGTGGTGTTGTTGTGTGTGAGTGGTGGTGGTTGTTGTGTGGTAGTGGTGGTGGTTGTTGTGTGGTGGTGGTGGTTGTTGTTGTGTGGTGGTGGTGGTTGTTGTGTGGTAGTGGTGGTGGTTGTTGTGTGGTGGTGGTGATGGTCCTGTGTGGTGACCTGATGATGAGTGATTGTGGTGAGTAACTGTCAGGTAGCAGTATGGTGGTAGTGAGGTGGTGGTTGTTGCTAGTAGATCGTAGTTGTCGTAGTGAGGTTGTAGGCTGGTGAGTTAGGGCAGGATGGTGGTAGCAGCCGAGAGAGAGAGAGAGAGAGAGAGAGAGAGAGAGAGAAGAGTAATAAACCTGACTCCTACCAATACCAGGTGAAAAAGAATGTTAATGACACGTCCCCATTTCTTCCCCCTCTTTCCTCTTCCTCCCCCACCACTTATTATACAGGGGCCAACTTGTTGATGGGCAGGGGGGTGGCGGGTAGGGGGGGGTGGCGGTAGGGGGGGTGGCGGGGGGGGGTGGTGGTAGGGGGTGGCGGGGGGGGGCGGTAGGGGGGTGGCAGGGGGTGGTGGTAGGGGGGTAGGGGGGTGGTAGGGGGTGGCGGTAGGGGGTGGTAGGGGGGTGGGTGGTAGGGGGTGGTAGGGGGGTGGCGGTAGGGGGGGGTGGCAGGGGGGGGGGTAGTGGGGGGGCGTAGGGGGGGGTGGCGGTAGGGGGGTGGCGGTGGGGGTGGGGGTGGGGGGTGGCGGGGGTGGCGGTAGGGGGGTGGTGGTAGGGGTGGCGGTAGGGGTGGCGGTAGGGGGTGGCGGTGAGGGGGGGGAAATGGGTTGACTTAATGAATAAAAAAAGCCGCCACGTTCTCGTATAATGGCCCCACTCTCCACCCCCACTGCTACTGTACCATACCTTCCTGTTGTTGTAGATTATGTAACCCCACTCCTACTTACCTCTGACACATAGAGGAGGGGGGGAGATAAAGTGAGAAATAAAAAGGAAATATCTCCAAGAATCAATTTCCAGCTAACGTTACTTTAGCTTTAGTCCTAACAGATAAAGCTGCTGGTGATTGGCACACGTCGGGCGTACCAGCTGGCGGGATTGGAGGACGCTACCAGCTGTTGAGAACTCCCAGATGGTTGAGAAGTCCTCCATAAGAGAACTCCCTCAAGAGAATTCCCGTCACGTCGTGGTTAAATTAAAAGCTCTCTCTCTCTCTCTCTCTCCCAATTAGAGCGAGAGAGAGAGAGAGAGGGAGGGAGGGAGGATAGAGAGGTAGGGAGGGGGGGAGAGAGAGAGAGAAAGAGAAGGATAACAAAGAGGGAAGGAGGAGAAAGGGAGGGAGAGCCAGAGGTGAGAAGGGACGCAGGTGTACACAATCATGGTAGTACAACTTGTTTACACTTACCATGTAGTAAACAGAGTGTAGTGAGGATGGCGTAGACAATGAGGCCAGACATCTTGGTGATCTAAGCCGTCACAACCTGTAAACAAACAAACAAACAAACATTAGTCATCGTAAACAATACATAGGAGGAGGGATAAACAATTTAAATCACCATATTGTATACACTAAACAAAAACAAACAAGGTATCACATCATAAACAACAAATGATTTAGTCGTTACGTCACAAACAACAAACAGGAAATAATACATAAAATATCAGAAAGCAAACAAATCCCAACACCAGGGCATTGTAAACAAGAGCCACTATCAAGGAGGCAAACAAACACACGAGACTGTAAACAAAACACAAAGAACAGTCTTATGGAGTCGTTCAATAGAGGATAAATTTGAATATAAGTAAGAAGAGGTGGTGATGATGATGATGATGATGATGATGATGATAATGAGGACACGCTCAATATACTGTACAGTACATAACCTGTTAACATCTTAAATATAACTCACATGTTACAACTGTTGATACATCAGGAGACAATTTGTATGATATGATCAATATACAGTATATAAATAACACTTATTAAAGTTATTTAGAGTTCTCAAAGGATTTAATAGTTCACTCACGTTTTGGGTCTAGGGTTTGACCAACGAGAACGAATACAATATCCTCCTGGTAGATGTTGGCTGAACGTTAAATCAAGATGTTGTCTCTACGGTAGAAGGTGAGACTCTGGCCCTCAGGCAGGGACACAGCTGCTACCAGCTCCTTCTTGCTTAGTAAGCTATTCTGAGTTGTAAACAGTTTCTTTACTTAACATGTGGCCGACACTTAACAATGATGAGGATGATGATGGTAATGGTATAATGAAAACTACCACTACAACAACTACTACCACTACAACAACTACTACCACTACGACCACCACTACCACAACATAACAAAAGGTGCTCCACACTTCCCCCTACCACTTTGATGACTTTCTAAATCCTGTCATATGAAACAGCTTACCTGACTAATCTGCAGGAGGGGAGGGGAGGGGAAGGAGAGGAAGGAAGGAGAGGAAGGGAGAGGGAGGTCTATAAAGATGACAGACAGATAAGGAGGTGAGCTGTACAGACCCCGCGTGTAGGGACAGACATAGTGAGGGGATAATCACCTTCTCACCCCCCCACAATACTGATTAATATCTCTCAATATGGCGGAGGGAGGAGAGGGAGGGAGGGAGGAGAATGAGATAGAAGGAAGGAAGGAAGGAAGGAAGGAAGGAAGGAAGGAAGGTGGGTACAGGTAATGGCGGTTGCAGGTAATTGGCAGGCAGTGGGTGGTGGGTGGGAGTGGGGTTGGTGGGGTGGTGGGTTGGTGGGGGGTGGCAGGTGGGAGTATTAGTGGAAAGGATGTGGTTGGCGGTGGAAGCGGGGGGCTGGTGGTGGAGGTGAAGTGGAGAGAGAGAGAGAGAGAGAGAGAGAGAGAGAGAGAGAGAGTTGTCTACAGGCGGGCAGAGATTCCACTGTTCCTAACACACACACACACACACACACACACACACACACACACACACACACACACACACACACCTGTTTTTATGCACAAACAAACGTAAAGTGAAGCAATTCAACCTTCTTCCGCTCCATAACCTGAGGGGGAGGGTCTTCCGGGAGGGGGGGGATAGAGGGGGTGAGGGGAGAATCTTAGAGTGGGGTGAGGGGGAGAATCTTTTAGAGGGGTGAGGGGAGGTAATTTATCAACATTTAATTCATAAAAAACATTCAATTACAGGTCAGGAATTACTTTTGTCCAATAGTTTATTTCAACGGACAAATCGGCTGACAATTTCGCCAAAAGTATATTTCAGACCATCCGTGACCAAATTTACGACCAGGTAGACGCCAACTCACAATCCCTCGCCAAATTTACGACCAGGTAGACGCCAACTAACGACAAAGAAACGACAGAGAACGATAAAACGCCTTAGTTGTCGAGACCCTGCAATAAAATTACCCCATCATTTATCAGTACCACATCTGACGACACCACACACACACACACACACACACACACACATGTACGTACGTCGAGCTGACAATAAAGAACGTGTAATAGGATGTCTCTTCTTACTTACCTTTTCAGCCAAGGTGAGGGAAGGTGAGGGGAGGGTGGGGGGTGGGATGAGGGGGGTGTTGGGGGGGTAGGCATGGAGGGGTATTGGTGGTGGGGAAGGTGTAGTGGAAGGGGTGAGGGGTGATGTTTGACTGTTTGATGGGGAGGAGGTGATGAGGGGTGTTTGGTTTGGGGGAAATGAAAAGGGAAGGGGTTGATGGGGGTGTTTGATGGGAGGACAGTGGTGGTGAGGAGGGTAGGAGGAAGGGACAATAGTGAAGAACAAGAACAAGAAGAACAAGCAAGAAGAACAAGAAGAAGAACAAGAAGGCAGAGGAGGAAGAAGCAGAGGTTGACCACAATCAACAGAGGAACATGGCCCTGTAAGACACCACCCACCATGACACCAGTGATACCGATCTGTCGTAACGCTACACCCACCGCCCTCCTACCACCCACGCCACCAACCACCCAGGAGCCTACTATAACCACCACCCACGCCACCCAACAATCACCCAGAGCCTACCACAACCACCATCCACACTACCACCACCAAAATACAAATTGATGAATTGCCACCCACACACACACACAAACACACACACACACACACACACACACACACACACACACACACACACACACACACACACACACACACACGATTGGATCTTTTACAAACAAGGAACTACTGAACAGATATCTAGATTACTGTGCTGTTGAAATATGTAAACAAACAAACAAACAAACACACACGCATACTACTCAGCTATCCAAACACCAGACAAGGAATAAAAACACACACACACAAACACACACACAACAGAGTCCCGAATGCTAGTCCCTGAGTTTACAAATATATGATGGAAAATACGAACAGGTAAACAGATGGTAAAGGTTAATGAGAGGGGTTTATGCAGGTAGTGGGGCCGTCTCTCTGAACCCCGAACCCATCCGAACCCCGAATCTATGCGAATCCAATAAAATCTCGAACTCATGTGAATCCCCAAGTAAACCGAATCCCGAACCCAAATGAACTCTGAATCCTCACATCATCATCAACAGAAGGTAATCCAACGTTTGGTTCGAATATCACGTCTCCAAAAGGGTGTACAGTAGATTATATACCGTATCATCATCATCATCATCATCATCATCATCTATCATCATCTATTTCACTATTCTTTATCCCAACGGAATCAGTTAAATACGATCTCACAATATCATTAAAACCTCAAAAAAAAAAAGTCATACGAATTTCTGAGACTAAGCGACGTAAAATTCTCATAAATTTTAAGTTTTTATTGAGACTTCATTCACCGAGACTCCACACGTTCTTATATTTCAACTTAGGATAAAACACAAAAATCTCGTAAGATTCTGTGTGGCTGTGGGTGATATTGGGATCCATTCAACATATCCTACTAATGGCTTGAATAATCTAGCCTCCTCTCGCTTCCTCCTGCCCCCTCTCGCCTCCCCCCGCCTTCTCTCGCCTCCTCCCGCTTCCTCCCGCCTCCTCGCAATGAGTTCCGTAGACAGTAATGCCACCAGGCTATACCCTTCACCTAGCTGGCCGGGAGTGAGATCTAATACGTGTGGATGGGGCCTTATGGGTGTGGATAGGTGGATGTATATACCCGCTTCCCTCCTTCGCTGGCCACTGTAGATGGGATTTGTTTAGGGGGAAGAGTGAGGGAGGAAGGGGGGTGAGGGAGGAAGGGAGGAGGGAGGGGTGAGGGAGGAAGGGAGGAGAGAGGGGGTGAGGGAGGAAGGGGGAGGAGGAAGGAGGAGGAAGGAAGGTGAGGAGGAAGGGGTAGGGAGGAAGGGGAGTGAGGGAGGAAAGGGGTGAGGGAGGAAGGGGGTGAGGGAGAAGGGGGTGAGGGAGGAAGGGGTGAGGAGGAAGGAAGGAGGAGGAAGGGGGGGGTGAGGGAGGAGGGACTGTGTTTTATAACTAGGAGGGAGGAGGAGGAGGAGGGAGAAGAGAAGGAGGAAGAGGAAGAGGAAGAGGAGGAGGCATCAAAACACTGCCTCTCTCGACCTTCCCAAGAGTAATCAAACTTTGTTAATCCTCAGCCTTCTCAACCTCTTTGTTCCTCTCTCCTCTTCCTCCTGTTATTTTTCCCTCCTCTTCTTCTACTTCTTCTTCTTTTCTCCTTCTCCCCAGAAAAAATGGAGGACGGGAAGACAAGGAGAATTAGGAGGAAGACAGCAAACGAAGAATGGAAGGGGGTGGAAAGAATATAAGTCAGGGAAAAAGGCATAATTGTGGGAAAAAAGTAAGAATCGTAGGGAAAAAAGGCATAATTGTGGGAAAATAGAAGAATTGTGGGAAAAAAGTAAGAATCTAGGAAAAAAGGCATAATTGGAAAATGGAAGATTTGTGGGAAAAAAGTAAGAATCATCGGAAAAAAAAAAGTAAGAATTAAAGAAGAAGAATGGAAAAAAAATACAATAAACATACACAGGAAACAATAACAGACGCAATAAATAGAGAAAAACGAAAGATAAAAAGAAAACAACCAAAAGAGAGGAGAGAGAGAGAGAGAGAGAGAGAGAGAGAGAGAGAGAGGTAGAAGTAAACCAGATAAATAGAAGGAATAAAAAGGTTTAATTTTGTCTCTTAACTGGTGCTAAGTGAACAGATCTAGTATGTAGAGAGTCTCAGTAGTTAAGGTAGAGAGTCTCAGTAGTTAAGGTAGAGAGTCTCAGTAGTTGGGGTAGAGAGTCTCAGTAGTTAAGGTAGAGTCTCAGATCAGATGTAGAGAGTCTCAGTAGTTAGGTGTAGAGAGTCCAGTAGTTAAGGTAGAGAGTCTCAGTATATGCAGAGAGTCCAGTATAAGGTGGGAGTCTCAGTATTCAGTATGTAGAGAGTCTCAGTAGTAAGCAGAGCTCTAGTTAAGGTAGAGAGTCTCAGTAGTTGGCGTAGAGTCTCAGTAGTTAAGGTAGAGAGTCTAGTAAGGTAGAGTCTCAGTAGTTA